TCTTTTTTTTTAGATTTGGATACTTTTGAGTGGACTTTGGCCTAATCCCCTGCCATTTTGTGTATCAATATTCTTTCTTAATACATTGACCTTTATTTAAAAAAGATTTTTTTTGGTTGAAAGAAAATGAATATGAAGAAGTTTGTTAGGTTCGAGGAAGATAAAGAAGTTACTGCATTTTTCATAAACGATAAACTTAGGATTTTAATTTGGGAATAATTTAACTATTGTGAATGTTTTAATTTATTTCCATATTTGTACCAAAAGTAAATAAATAAATTACTATATTAAAAAATATTTAATAATATAAATTATTTTTAAAATAACTAATATTTTCAAATAATATACAAAAAAATCAACAGTTTAAAAAATTTATCAAATTAACCATGTTTCAAACAAACAAAAAAATTGCACGCAAGAGGAGTAGCCACTCATAGTGGCGCATGCATTAAAAAATTGTACAGAGGCGCCACTCCCTGTGGCGACTGCATGTACATGATGCCATTGCAAGTGGCGCATGCATGCATCCTCTAGGAGTATGTGCCACAGACAGTGGCTATTGCTTTGTTTAGAGATTCTATAAATAATTCATCCTCTCCCCATTATTTTCACATATTTTCTAAGTCGCTCCTTCAAATTTTCTTCAAAGTGTATTCATATATATATTCTTATATTTGTTAGAACAAGATTTGTTCATGATATTTATCCTTTGGGTTTTGATAATAACAAAGTATTGAAAAAACAATGGTGTTATCTAATGTGTGTTCCAAGTATGCAGGTTCTAAAGCTTAAAGAGAATACTTTCAGAATTTGATATAAGGACGCACTTGAGGGAAGCTGAGTTACTAGCCTCTGGTGGTTCAGAATGTGAAGAACACTCTCTAAGTGATGTCTGGCATAGACTCTAAAGGTAAAGGCCTCAGCATCAGAAGAGCAACATATTGTCTCTACACTTAGTAAATGTATCGGCTTCTGATAAACATTCAGAGTTAGCAATAAAGCTAAAAGTATCCGTACCGCAGAAAGCAAGTTACATTATCAAATGAGCTTGTCAGCTAGAGTCTATGTTCACAAGGCTCAAGAAGAGTTGATATGTTTTAGGGATATCTACTCTCAACAGATCTATAATACAAGATTATATATAAGACTCAATGGTTAAATAAGTTACACAATGGATTAAGATCTTTTGATTTATCTATCTTCAACGTCTCTTGTACTATAGAAAAACAAAGACACTTGTTCAAGTTATCTCTTCTAACGGCTAGTCTTATACAACTGATATATAAGTTGTTGAAGATTCAAACTAAATCTTCAACAAGGAACAAAGAACAAGAATAATTAGAGAAGAAAAGCCAAGAAGGATATGAGTGTTTTACACTTCTATCTAGATGGAGGAATAACAAGATCAACAATAAGCAACACAATCGAGTATGCAGAAATTCTGTTATATGTTACAAATTGTACAAAGCCTTAAGATTTCTTAAACATTGAATATCTTAGAAAACTTAAGTGTTTAAGGTCTTTGTTATGATGATTACCTCGTACCAATGATTTTGTATAAAGTACACTTTGCTCTTTATTTTTCTAAACGTGTTGTTTAGTAGTTTAGATAAAGTCTTTTGCTATGTACTTGAGCATCAAAGTCTCTTGCTGAGAAGCTTAAGCCAAGTAAGTCTCCTCTATGTGCTAGAGCATTGAAAATCATGATCAGTTGATTAAGCAAGAAAGTCTTGGATTGTGAGTCTGAGCAAAAGTCTTGGGTTCGTGGAACTTGAGCAAGGAAGTCTTAGGCTGCAGTCTGAGCAAGGAAGTATTGAGTCTGAGGGGCTTAAGCAGAAGTATTGGGTTCATAGAACCTAAGCAAGGAAGTCTTAGACTTGAGAGTCTGAGCATGAAGTCTTGGGCTTGAGGGGCTTAAGCAGGAAGTTTTGGGTTCGTGGAACCTAAGCAGAAATTCTTGGACCTAAGGGGTTTAAGCAGGAAGTCTTGGGCCTGAAGGGCTTGAGTAAGGAAGTCTTGGATTTATGGAATCTAAGAATGAAGTCTTAGACCTGAGGGATTTAAGCAGAAAGTCTTGGGCTGAGGGTCTGAGCAAAGAAAAGTCTTATGCTTAAGTGCATAAGCAATTGTAACCATGATTTGATTATAGTGAAAAATCTCTTGCGTTGCAAGGGGACTGGACTACTCTCAGTTTGGGAGAAACCAGGATAAATCTATGTGTTCTTTATCTTTATTTGCTTCTTTTAACATTTTGCTGCAACGTTTTAATCAGAATCTGAACATCAGTTTAGATTCTGAACTCTGATCAGAGGCAAAGTTAAGAAACATAAAACACAATTCAACCCCGCTTTCTTGTATATTTTTCTCACCTTTAATGTTCACAAGAGAAATGCCAATTTAATTTATTTGGCAATAAAGCCTTCGATGAAGATCCAACTCTGGAAAACAGAGACATTCGAGCATCTTAATGGAAACTTGATCCGTAGGTTAGATGGAGACATTGAAAAGGGTGAAAAGATCAGAAGAATTCAAAGACTCATTTTTGGGACAATGTTAAAACTGACAGGGATATTGGAAATTGTCCTGATGGTTGTAATATCATAGTTATGTTGTTTAGTGCTTGTATTTGTTTGTCTTGTTGTTTAGTTGTTATTTAAATTATTGTAATAAAATGTATTGATATTTATAAAATGAGTGTTGTTTTTAAAATAAAATAAAATGGTTACATGTAAATTATGTTGTTATGCTTGATCCAACACTGGGACAGTTTGTACAATTGTGTCCAGATTGACAATATGAACTATATAATCTGACCAATTTGTTCTCCGTATCCATTTCGGTTTCAATACACGTGTTGTTTGGGCAACCTTTTTTCTTTCTTCGCATGTTTTCATTGTGCCAGACTATATCCCCTTGATATGCAGGCCAATAATATTCCTTTGCTACCAACGAAAAGCTATTGTTGTGAACATTGCATAGGTTTATGACTTTTCAAACAGCGGATAGTAAATCTTGGTCCAACAATGAGACAATTTGTACGATTGTGTCCGGACTGACGACATGAACTACATAATCTCACCAATTTGTTCTTTGTATCTATTTCAGTTCGAATACACGTGCTGTTTGGGCACTCTTTCTTTTCTTTCTTCGCATGTTTTCATTGTACCAGACTACATCCCTTTGATATGTAGGTCAATAGTCTTTCTTTGCTACCAATAGAAAGCTATTGGATTGAACATTGCATACGTTTATGACTTTGCAAACAGCGGATAGTAAGTCTTGGTCCAACACTGAGACAATTTGTACGATTGTGTCCGGACTGACAACATGAATTACATAATCTCACCAATTTGTTCTCCGTGCCCATTTCGGTTTGAATACACGTGTTATTCGGACAACCTTTTTCCTTTCTTCGCATGTTTTCATTATGCCATACTATATCCCCTTGATATGTAGGCCAATAATCTTCCTTTGTTATCAACGAAAAGATATTGTTGTGAACATTGCATAGGTTTATGACTTTGCAAACAACGGATAGTAAGTTGGAAGAGTCCTGTCGAGCATTTGAACATGCCGCTATGATATGAGAGCAAGGATACAAAAGGCTTGGAACTTTCTATTGTTGCACCAACCTCTATCTAGTTGAACTTGAAAGTATCCCATTGACCTCCCTTCATTGTGATCCATTGCCTCGTCTACACTGAACCAACCTTTATGACGGTCAAACACTATGACCACATGTGTGTTAGCTTTCTCCTTAATGAATTTCTTTGAAGCATCAATGAACAGTTGTCCCCATTGTAACAATGAACCCCATTTGAATGTCTGATATCAAACAGCGACCCTAACCTAAAATAGGTTGCTCTCCCCAAAGCGGGTATCGATAGATTTCAGATGCCTTTGAAGACAAAGTTCATTAATTCCACGAGATTTTACAAATTATAAATTTTTAAAAATAAAATTAGTTGTAATATTATTAAATAATAATATAAATATTAGCACATAATTTTTTTATATTTTAATTATTATTACCACTTCATTAAAAATAATTTTAAAAACTAAGTTTTCTTTGTTTTAGCTTTAAAAATAGATTTTATTTTGTATTTTTAAATTTTTTTATAAAAATGATTTTTATCATATTTCAATTTTTTTAAAATTTATTTTTCTCTAAATTGAAAAATTAATTTTGATATTTATTACATAAATATATATTATTGAAAATTAAAATATAATCGAAATTGTAATTTCTTAAAAAAGATATATTTTAAAATAATTTTTGTAAAAAAAACTATTTAAAATAACTTTTATTTTTTTTTAAATTTTGATATCTATTTTTATAATAAAAAAAACATAAAATAGTATTTTAAAAATATTATAAAAATCACATTTTACTATGTAAATTAATTTTATACAAAAAAAAAAGTAATATTATAAAATTTATTTGAAAAACTGAAACAAAAGGACATAATTATTAAGACATTGAATTTTTGACATAGAAGTAAGGACAAAAATAATTCATATCAATTGAGGCCAGCTACTACCAATTGGCCACACACTGCCAGCTGCTACCAACAACAGACACAGTAAATAAATAGTACAACACATAAGTGAGAAGCCTGCCATTTTTTTTCTAAAAGAAAACAGCCCATGTGATTTTCAACCTCTGCTAATGACCATACTTCCACAGTAACCCCACAAATATTCTAATTGGATTAAATTTTTTCTGATGTTCTAAATTTTTATGGTAGACAACAATATTCTAATTTGGAATATATATAAAAAAATAAAAACACTTGCTTTTATTATATTTTATGAACACCCCAATTTTACAAGATTATTTTGTTATCATGCATCAGATAACTTTATAATATACCAATTTTATTATTAAAAAAATTGAATTAAAAAACTAAACACATGTACCAACCTAATCTTGTAAGTTTTATCGAATAAAAAGAGTTTAAGCTAATAAATTAAATATTATGCATTCTCAAAATACAAACCTGGATAATTATGTGTGAAAGTATCCCATATGCTTGGTCCTCTTCCACCAACATTTGCTGCACCTTCAACCTAAAAATTATCCATTAAATTAGTGATTAATATTAAAATTAGAAAAACAAAAAAATGATCTAATTTTTGAAGTACCTGGTAAGCTGATGAAGCTGTTCCAAAAATAAAATTTTCTGGAAAACTACTCCGATTGAAAGACTTAGTTATATCATTATTGGTTAACAATGTTGTAGATTCAATTATAGACACAGAGCTAAGAATTACAACGATTCCAGAAAGAGGAAGAAGAAGATTTATTGCCATGAATGACTATATAGTTTGCATCATTTCAACCAAAGTGGCATGCTTTGGCTCTTATATAGTGGAGTTTATGTGTGTGAAAAGTTAAGGAATAATTAAGATTATAAAATATATAATAGTTTATTTATAAAATAAAGTAACACTTGAAAGTGACTATTAAAAAATGTATATAAAATCAAAGTCTATCTTTTTTCGACGGAATAATTAATTATTCATGCATCATGATCTATAAATTTAATTAAACTAATTAAAAAGAGAGTTGAATGAATTTAAATTTTTATTAAGATTAATGAAAAAAACAAGGCTTGTTGATCCCCACGTTGAACTCATAACTTATGAAATATGAATCACACGAATCCTATGAGATTTTGTCATGTCATCTGTCACTCACACCTACTCACACCTATGTGTTTTTATTATGTCACTTTTCGTATTAAAAATTCATTTTACTATTTATTTTGTAATATTTATAATTTTTTTTTAAAATTGAGTCTTATTAGATTTTTTGAATCAAACTACCAAAAATTTTCAAGTATACAATTTTACAGGCAATTTAAGTTTCATATCATATATTTTAAAGAAAAAAAAATGTATTTTTATTGGTATTTTTGAAATTTCTGAAAAAAAACTCATGTTTCTCATGTATTTTTACCAGATATTTTGAAAATTCTGATAAAAATGTATGTCTTTTACTAGATATTTTAAAAAATCCGATAAAAATGCATGCATTTCTATCGGTTATTTTAAAAAATTCGATAAAATTGCCTATAAGCATTACGGATTTTTCAAAAAAATCGTTAGAGAGCTGCAGCGAGGGCTCCTACGGAGGTAGAAGACATCAAGGATTTGCAAATTCGGGTGGGGAGAGTAGCCTCGATCGGTTCTCACATGAGTTGAGCAGGCTCGCGCACCGCGCAATATCCGATGTAGAGGAGCTAAAACTGGTGGATGGGCCATAGATCTTGTTGATGAGCTCGATGTTGTGGTTTATGACGATGTCCAAACAACAACTGCATGTGTGGATGGTTAGGATGACAGAAAGATGTGGCCGAGACAGAGGTGACCCATCATACTGAGATAGAGGCATTGGCTGATATTTAGGTGACTCCCCAAGGTGATACAAGGTGACTCTTCCAGCAGGTACAAAGGTTATTGCTCTGGCGGGTACATAGACGCCTGCTACGAGTGATATAGAGGTTACTTTTTTACCTGATACGAAGGTGATTGCTCCGACTTTGACAAAGTCACTTGTACATACTGATATAGGGTTTCTTGAAGGGCCTAGTGAACATTCCATTCTCATTGGATTTGCTAATCATGTGGCATCGAGATTATGGTAGGGAGAGGTATATATGTTATATTGAACTTATTTTTATTTATTATTGACATGTTGAAAATAACTGATGTTTTTTTTACCTTGTTTGTTATAAGACTAACTCCCGCTGAAAGTGCTCAACCATGGGGCAAAGTTAAAGAAGTTCTTAGCTGCCCCGATGCTACGAGAGGTCAGGGAGATCGTCAATGATTGTGGTCTCTTTTCATTTGGGGATTGTTCGTTGACCATGCTCGACACCGCACTATTATCAGCCCTTGTTGAGCGATAACATAAAGAGACATTTTCCTTTCATTTTCCATTTGGTGATATGATGATTATCTTGGATGATGACTTCTCCCTGTTCCATCTTCCTCTACCATGTAGTTTATTCATTGTTCCTCTCATTAACAAGGAGATTGTATGTATTACTGTTATACATGACTTAGGGGTTACCTAAGGCGCATGTCAGAGACGAGTTAAGGCTACAGTGATGCTTACTTTTGCTTATCTTGGCTTCGAGATAAGTATGTGGACCTGGTGCAACACTCTATGTATGAGGAAACCACTATGCTATACATGTTACATCTGGTAGGATGTACTATCTTAGTGGATAAGTCTCATTGCAAGGTACATGTGGTTGTTTAATATCCTTTACCATGTCAGCTGGGCATGGATGTGTGTTGCATTGATTGTTCTATATGCTGCACTTGGACATGCGATTGTCTTTGAGATGAGGTAGCTTGTCGATTATATGAGTCTATTTCAGGTATACAAATTTATTATTTCTTATTAACTTAGTTATTATTTATGACATTTGTTGATTTTCCTAAGTTCTTGTGCAATGTTGGATATACAAGCATTTCTCATCTATTTGTGAAAGGAAGATTACTCCTACCACTACTAGCTCCACAATGGCCACGATATGGAATGGCAAACATGCACATCCAAGCGGTCTTATGGAGTATAAGAAGAGGATTGATATGCTAACCTTAGACGATGTCATATGCACACCCTACGTATAACATAGAGTACATCGAGAGTTTGATGGCACTTCCCTTTTCTAGTTATCTACGATGGGATACCTTAGTTGCTAGACACTTACCTAAGAGGTGTACGCGTCAGTTTGGGTATGTCTAGAACATCCCATAACCAATCCCTAATGCACCATCTAAGAACATTGATAGATGTTTTATGGGTAAAGTTGTCAGTTATGATCGTGCCATTACAAATCATGCAGTTGAGGTTCAGTTCCTTGTGTAGTGTGTGGATGGTTACTTAGAGTGGTACCTTACTATATCACACCATCGAATCATCCCACTAGTTGAGCATACAAATGGTATTCGACCTTCCGATGCTAGGTTCTTCTGATGATGTGCCATCGTTTCCACCGCCTCCACTTGGTGTGGCTGACCAACAACATCTGCAAATGATAACAATCATTATGGATAACCTCATGGGTTTGGTAAACCCATACGGTGAGATTTATACTTTGGCATCACAGGCAGCACACATAGCCCGTGGGAGACATGTGTAGACATTATTATTGTTATTATTATTTTTGTATTATTACTCAGACATTTGCACCCTACAGTTTATTAGATAACACATTATTGCTTTCATTATTGCAGGATTAACATAACTTAACACTTGACAATTAACATAACTTAACACAAACAATTACATAACTTAACAGAACAATAATAAATAACAAAATTTATACACTACTCTGTGATTGTGGATGTTTTAACATCTAGATTATATCATCAACATGTTTAGAAATTGTCACATCAAACTCGACTGGTCCAATTTTTGGACTACGATTACATGTGTTAGAAAATTATTTCTAATCAAATGGGTCAAGGTTAGAATCATGAACGCATAAATTTCCTTATAGTATTTCAACCACTCTTAAATTGTCTTAGAGTCAATGCGCAATAATACCCAAGATAAGTCAATCTATTTTGAGATTATATCATCAACATGTCTAGAAATTCTCACATCAAACTCGACTGGCCCAATCTTTGGACTACGATTACATGTGTTAGAAAATTATTTCTAATCAAATGGGTCAAGGTTAGAATCATGAACGCATAAATTTCCTTATAGTATTTCAACCACTCTTAAATTGTCTTAGAGTCAACGCGCAATAATACCCAAGATAATTCAATCCGTTTTGAGTTTGTATAAGAACGATGAAAACTCGAATTTAGGGAAGATGAAATTCGAAATTTGTAGCGAGAGGGATGCACTTTTTTTATGTGTTTTTCTAAATCCATAATTATGAATTTATAGGCCAAGTAGTGTTATTTCACAAGGTCGCGACCCTTGATGAAATATACCCTTTCAGGAATGGTTTTTAACTAAGTGTTGCAATTTTTTGCCTACTCCTACACTTTAAAGTGTTTCCTATTTAGATTGCTTACTACAACGTACTTGCCTATTTCTGAATTTAAAAAATAAACTTCTTACTACAACACTTCATTAAGTGCTGCCTATTTCTGAATTCAAAAAACAAATTGTCTACTAAAACACTTCAAAAGCGTAACTTATTTTTGGATTCAAAAAACAAACTTCACTTGCATATTTTCTTATCATTTGGAATACATCCATGGTCATTAACTATTGTTATTAATTACAACAATCCTATATTTGTTCTAATAATAACAAGACCGATTCCAAAAAAAAAAACAAAGAATGTTAATACAGTTAAATATCTTTTGATTTGAACTTAACCTTAGTAAAGATAACACAAAGCCTAATCAGAATTTTATTTGGTAGCAAAGCTTTAAATATTTTATTTATTGTGATTATATTGGCATTACCTTAAACACACTCTTTAATGACTTTTCTTCTACATCTCTTGTATATCACTATTTATGGTCATATGCTTTTCCTGTTTCATGAATTTATTGTGACAGAAAACTCCAATTCTTACTTTGAGATGACATCATCTCTATATTCACATAGGTGAAGTGTATACTGTATCTATTTTTCTTGAGATACATATTTTCGACATTAAACTTCATTAAGAGTTTGAAAACTCAACGCTCAATATGCAATAGTCAACATTATCACATAATGTTTCATAAATATAATGTTTCATAAACTCAACCCTAAAAATGCAATAGTCACATAATCCATTAATGTTAGATTGGGTTTCTGCCATCATTGGAACTCTTACTCGAGGAGTTTCAATCTCATACCTCTCGAGGTAGTCTTTACTAAATCTTTAGCTAGTGTTTAAGAAGATGGATAAACTATATTGTAGCCTGAACATATATATGTCAGTGCAATGTATCAACACCTTTGAAGCATTGTCTATAGCCAACAAAACTTCCATCAGAAGGTTCGTCAATCTTTCAACTTCTCCACCATCGGAAGCAAGATCCACGAACTATGATTTCATGGCCGAGAGAGTGATAAACATTTTTTCTTGCTCTTCTAAGAAATCGCACCCCACACTAGTGTAAAAATACTTTCTTAGCAGAGGTTTTTAAGTCAGTTCATCAATAACTCGACTTAAGAAGTCACACGGTGGCAAATCCGTAAATATTTGAAACTTTGTTAAGTTGTGTCTATGTTTAACCAACCTAACAAAGATTAAATAAAAAAAATGTAATTTACATTAAATTTCTTAAGTCGGTTCTTTTACCGAAATGACTTAAGAAATTTATTTATTAAGTCACGT